TCCCCATAATGTATCTGAGGTGGGGATGCGATGACGTCATACGGGGTGGGATGACGTCACAATGGGAGGCTGTGCATAGCTTAGCATAAATAATGACGTCACAATGGGAATTCGTGCATAAATTAGCATAAATGAGGACCAATGCCGTAAAGGGGATCATTTGAATGAGGATGACGTCACAATGGGATATTTTAATACATTTGCATAAATTACCATCAATTTTTTTTGTAATTATTTTGTTTAATTATTTTTAATTATTTTTAATTGTTTTTTAATTGGACAGGCGTGGACGAAAGATTTTTCATGAGGATGACGTCACAATGGGATATTGTGAATACATTTGCATACATAAAATTGATGTGAATACGAGGTCGTGTCGAGGTCATCGTGAATACATTTGCATAAATTACCATCATTTTTTTAATTATTTTTTAATTATTTTTAATTATTTTTAATTATTTTTTAATTGGACAGGCGTGGACGAAAGATTTTTCAGAATGTTTCGTAGAGGGCGCTCACACACACACACACACACACGTTAATAAATACACGTCATTTTGAAAACTAATGGAGTTTATTGCACAAAAGAAGTAAACAAGAATGAAATATTGACATGGAGTATATATTTATGACATGGTTGAGTATTTTTTTAACGTCACAAAAAAACATACGATGTGAGTAAGGAAAATAGTTGCGTAGTGTATAAATGTTTAGCGTGATTAAATATTTCTTTGTTAACACCTCGAAAAATACGTAGATACATGTAAATGTGCGGCGTGGTTAAATTTATTTTTAATGCCACAAAAAATACGAGTACATAAACGATTCGATTAAAACACAGAAACGAGAAAAGCCAATAATAGTAAACATTGATCAATAAAAAATAATTCATTCTATATATACATATGTTGTTTATTTTTACATTTCTTACTTCCTTTCAATGAGTCAAGCAGTCTGTACACTTTTTTTTATTCCATCACTATAATCAGAATCGCTCATCTGTCGTACAAGAAAGAGAGAGAGAGAGAGGATAATATTAAAAACCGATAGTTATATAAAGAAAGTATAAGTTATGTGTTGAAAATTTAATAGTATGAATTATCCCGTAAAACTGCGGTCATCAATCCGCTAAAATGCAAAGTATGCAAAATCGGTTGATCGACGTACAGTTTGTTTTTCAAAAAATGGCGGACTACGCTACTATGAGTTAAAATGTATAATTACCTGATCGTTTCACAGAATAACTTTTGACATACATAATCATCACACGGAATGAGTTTACGGTGTAACGTAGCGATTTTCGTTTTTCCCCCCGACGAAGAAAATATGTCCTCGCTTCTTGCCAAAGATTCAAAGGCGGTAGACCAAGTTTGACCTTCCGTGAAAAGTTCATCTCATGGACACTACGAGTCATACAGGACGTATTGGCAACACATGGCTTGAAAGTATTTGATGATTGTAGATCCACGTACGAGAAATCTTATAAATTCCATGACATGACTACCGTACGAGTCATAATAGTCTTCGTGGTAAGGGTATTTCAGACAGAAAGTGGCCCAACGCGTTCCACTCGCGAATATCAACGGTGTTTGATATAAGCGATGTGTATCATTCCGAAGCACACTTGTGAATGCCAGTCTGAACTCAATCACAAGATTAAATGTAAGGCGTGTCTAGTCCTAAGTGTTCCCAACGTGAAATAGACCTCCCACGTAGATGATAAACAACAGATGTTGGTATATTTATGTTATCTAAAACATGAACACTCACAAACAGCCTGAGGGATATCGAGTTTCAAGTTGAAAGCGTGAATTTCGACC